CGAAAGACGACTGGGGTGGCTGTAATGGACCCTTTCGGGTCGCGTGGAACGATCCCGACAGGGGTCAAAGTGTCGTGAGTGTTGGGGGCCGCGATGTGCGGGTCCAATGCGGTGACGCACGGCATTCATTGTATATTGAAGCTCTGATCGCTCGAGAAATTGGCTCGGGGAGCGCAGAAATACGGACAGTGTTGGCATGGCCAGTCTACCTGCGGGGCGGCCTGCGATGACCTTTGGATACTTCCCGACCAGCAAGGAACGCTCCAGATAACGAGTGTGGGCCGACTATCTCCGAAGGTACATTTATCTCTTCAGTGCATCATCAGGAACTTCGTCCGTTTTGAGAACGTAGTTTCTTTCAGGTTGGCCAAGAGGATTCACAAGTTACCTCCAAAGGCGTATGCTGACAGCCGCACATTGGTGCACTACGACAAAGACGTGAACCCAGGCTTCCACTACTACGAAGCCGAGGGCGCTGCCCTAAGCATTCGAGACATACCTTGATCAGCACATTCAAGAATCACCCAGTGCCTAAAAACCACCAAACTTCAAGCGGGCTTCCTTCAAGACGTGGCGAAGTTTGAAGAACTGGCCGACATGCCCGAGCAAGGCAACGACGCCAGGGGGGCCCCAGGAATCGAACCACCACAGGAAGGCGAACGGCTTCCCACCATCTATGAGGAATCAGAGGTGGACCTCAAGGCGCGCATTATCGAAGTGTGGTGCGCAGAATTGCAAGACGCAAGAGGATGATTGGAGGCAATTCCAATGGGCGAGCTCTACACAGTACCACGCAGATGATCACTGACAACACAGTGCTGGTCACAGTAGCTGAGGAGAAGTGGGGGCACCTGCCTGCGTGGCGTAACCTACAGGACATGGACGCAACTGGGACACATCATGCCCCATCGTGCTCCACGGACGAAGATGGCAGCTACGCGTTGAATTTTGACGAGCACGGACAATGCGTATAATTCTGTTTACGACAGAAATGTCAAAGGTAGTCTTTATCCGATCAACAACACAGGATATGGGACTTCGACCGTGTGACCACTATGCAGTGTATGTGACCGCTGCAGCTAAACGAGCTGTAAGCGTCAAGGATGACGACCTTCTCACGAAGGCAGATAGCCATGCGAATCTAGTCAAGGCGTCGAAGGCCCTATATACTGAACTCAAGACATGGTCTGACAACAAGTGCTTCCATCTACAATAGATGTAAACATATATATATATATATATATATATATACATACGTATATATCCAAAGCGCCAAGCAACATGTCTTCGAGGGACGAATATAAATGGAAGTTCGTCAAGAACGATAAGCACGAGATGGAGCGTGCCATCGGACTACGCCTGGTACTTGGGGGTTTCATGGGCCTCGAAATTGTCGACTTGGAAACTTTCTCAGGGGCGGCGCGGCGGTCAAGTCAGCGACGTCAGCGACTACTCGCCAGCGCGGCAGCGTGCAAGAAGCAGTGGGTCATTGCTTCCCTCGACATCAACATGGCTTTCCTGAAGGGGTTTACCTCTCAGGAGCTTGCTGGGGCAACCGGTGAAAAGGAACGCGTGGCTTCTGCCGCCTGGTTCAACGTCCGTGCTCAGATGTTTCCCGGGATTCGAGCAATATGATGAGTCGGGGCGCTGTTTGCAGTGCCTCGAACCAGGTACTGGTACCAAGGATGCACCCGGGGCCGCCTCGCTGAATCCCAGGAAGACCACGAGGTTTTGGTCTTGAACCCACGTCCTACGACGAGGAGTTCGAGACAAGATCTAACCGTCTTTCGGCCAAGCATGTTGCTGACATAAACATGGCCGGTACTGATGACATCATTGATAAGTGCGTCAAATGTGTTGAGGATGCTGTGGGGGAATGTGAACTCAGCAAGCACACCTGTACCAACTGTTCTGTGAAATGCGCGAAGGGCGGCGACGGCAATGTTACACTCGACCAAGACGAACACATAAAACATATCCATCCTATCCAGCGCCATGAACTCACGGGCGCAGATGCTCAGGCCAAGGCGTCGAAGATGCTTGCTGACATGTTTGTCAGCCTCAGAGGCGCTTGGCAAACGCCCTTATCGCGCAAGCGTGGTGAATTGTATGTGTTGTATCACTGCAGCGCGTCCGAGAACCGACCGACATGCAAGTGCGACGACTCGGCGCGATCGCCGGGAAGTTGCAGGCCTGCCTTTGCAAAAGATCGTCTATCAAGCGATGGCTCCAACGGGAGAGGTCGACCTACACAGCGACTCCGGCCGCCGGCGTCTGAACGGAGATGCCGATGACGCAGTCGAAGGCCATGGTATTCGCGGGGCGCACCTGCGAAGGCGTGGGCGCGCGCTTGCCGGTAAGCCCGTCGCCCGTCTTGTCGACGCGCGCTGCAAGTCTCATCGTTTGCAGGCCCGCTCGAGCTACTCAGCGGAAACATTTGCAGCGGCCCGCAACATGGAGGACTTCTATCCCATGATTGACACTCTGCGCGAACTCCACGCCGGGCCGCTGGCGCCCACTCAACTGAAAGATCTATTTGAGATGGGCGGCCTGATCATTGAGAGCACCTTGACCATCGATTCATAATCGGTCTTCATGTCCTTGTCAAGCAAAGACCTGCAGAAGCCTACTGAGTGTACATTATTGGGGCGCATCAGTTGGTTGCGACAAATGATGGAACGAGGTATCGTGCGCTGTGTACAAGTGTGTGTCACTCGCGATATGACTGCGGATGGCCACACCAAGGGAACATCGACAGAGACATGCTCCTACAAGTCACGGGGGGAGCGCAATCCTTCAAACATGACCTAACGCGACGCACTCCCTACAGGGTTGGCCAGACAAGATCATCTGAACCGCCTGAGGAGTAGTGATCAGCAGGGCAACTTGCCTGCGAGGTAACTTGCTTGCAAGGTAGCTTGCATGCGGGTCAACCTGCCTTTGTGGAGCCCGCCTGCTGCTGCCTACCTAGTGTATTCTAGTGTGTTGCTGTATAGCTGGCGGCGGACTCGTGAATCGTCTACCCCCCTGAGTCTATAGGAGGTTGGGCAGAGGCGAGAGGTAGCCAGCGTTTGTCTGCGGCCGTTTGTGCTCGAGCGGCCGGCCGCCAACATATGGCCGTGCTTCATCGCAAGGCACACTATTTGCCATTGAGATCGAAATCGTCTTCGCTTGACATGGCTCGTCGCTCCCGCGACTCTCCTTTGCTCTTGGGAGTATCGCTACTATGGTATAGCAAAATTGATATGGGCTTCGCCTTGGGCGAACCATCTGGTTGGGCCTCCCGACCCCGTTCAAACTGGGGGCGCTCTGCGCCCCAGCCCCTTCGCCGATCGCCCCTTCCTGCGCGGAGAGCCGGTCCTCCCGGAGGCTGCACTTCGGAGGAGGAAAGGTGTTTCGGGTTTCGTACTAAGCGTGGGAGGGTACCCCCCGACGGGGGTCAACCTCGCCTCGTCGTCGCGCCGCGACGGGGGTCGGAGCGCCTTCGGCGCGCGGTGGTTGCCCGTGACGGGGTTCGATGTGGGGTTGTCGGCGGGGGTGACGCCCCCCCCCCCCGACGCTTATTACCAAATTCTAGACGCTTCGCGTGTCCCCACCAGCCCGTCCAGAAACGACGCCCAGGCGAGTAGAGGGTCGTCCTGAAGGGCTTTTCGGCGTCTTGGGTGCCTCGGGGGGGCCTCTGTGGGCCGTTCGGGATCCTCTTTGGGGCCTCCTGGGGGCCTGGGGCCATCTTGGGGCCTCTTGGGGGTCTCTTGGGGGCCTCCTGGGGGCCTCTTGGGGGGCCTCTTGGGGCCATCTTGGGGCCATCCTGCGGCCTCCTGGGGTATCCTGGGGGCCTCTTGCGGCCATCGTGGAGGAAATCGATCAAAGAAGAGGGGAGCCTTAATTAGCGTTGCCCCCTGAGAAGGCCAAAATGGGGCCAAAACCATATTAAAATTAATGTTTTTGGCTTCCTCGCCGAGGCCGTTTTGGACGCTCTGACCGCTCCCCGCCCCTCCTGTCCAGGTCAGTGGGGAGGGGGTAGGGGGAGGGGTAAACCTCTCCCCGAAGGGGAAGAGGGAGGGGTGGAAGAGGAAACTCGGGTCAACCTCGCCTCGTCGTCGCGCCGCGACGGGGGTCGGAGCGCCTTCGGCGCGCGGTGGTTGCCCGTGACGGGGTTCGATGTGGGGTTGTCGGCGGGGGTGACGCCCCCCCCCCGACGCTTATTACCAAACTCAAAGTACCCATACCGCTACCCTTACCTCGATTTCCTCCGCTCCGCTCCCCTCTTCCTCAGCCTCGCCCCGGAGGACCTCACCTTACACGACGGTCCAGGGCAACGTTGGGAGGGGGGTAGGCTCGGGGGGCAGCGCATCGACTTCCCCTCCCAAGGCTCACGGTATGAAGATATACCCATACCCTCACCGTTGCCTCGTGTTCGCCATTTTGGGCTTCCCGGGACGCCCTTGTCGCCACCGCTGGATTCGCCTAGAAATTTTGGTCAGAGCGCACCCCAGGAGAAGTGCGGGGAGTAGCAGCATCGGTACCTTTGGGTTTCCCCCGCCCCCGCTTGAAGGACGCCCGGGACTGGAAGCGTCAGTCCTTTGTCGGGAAAACGCAGGACTCGAGTTCGCCAGAGAGACATGCCGACACTTTTCGGCGAGCCCTTTTTGGATTTTGACGGCCCAGTCTTTCGTGGGGCGACTGCAGCGGGAGTTCGCGTCAAGTTTCACAGTGGGTCTCGTCACTTTCGGCGACGGCCTCGCCAGGCCAACCCGAGTTCCCCGAACCCGGATCTTACGTCGCCCCGGCCTTTGTCGGGGGTGCGCAGAGGGGGGTTGTCCCGAGGTGGGGTCGGGCAGCGGACCCAGCTGGCTGCTCACGTTTCTCTCTTCCAGGGGACGTTTGAGAGCGATCTTCCTTTAATTTTCAGGAGGGGAAAAAAACAAACAGACACAATCAATCGTCGACTCCCAGGAAGATTGGGGCAAGTATGGGACATGGTTGGGGGAAAACGACACCCAGAAACTGTAGGACAGTGTGGAGAATCTTGGGATTTGCGCCTGCTTCTTGGTGTGTCCCTGGGCCCCTTGCAGCTCCACCTCTGCCCCCGAGACCCCACCGGTCCGGTCCCCCCCCCCCTTTTCTGAATGTTTGCGGGCGTGTGCCGGGCAGCCGGGCGCGCCCTGGCACGTGGGCACCTTCTGCCGGAGAGTTTTCCGATGCGCCATCTGTCGCCGGGCGCGTTCCACCACTCGCAAAGTGCCCACTCGCAAACTTCCGAAAAAGAGAATGTTTGCTTTGATGCAATCTATCGTAGGTCCATGTCGTCGGATCCAGTCCTGGTCCAGTTGCACGTCCTCCTCTGCAGTGCTTGAGGCTGGTGTTCACGACGTGCCGTTGACGGCAACACCACATCGCTCACCCGCAGGATCTTCGCCTCTGGTCCCTGTCCGCGGCGTACCTTTTCCTGTGCAAGCTCTTCGGCACCGCCTGCACCCTGGGCTCCGCCCACTCCGGCCGCCTGAGGCCCCGCCTGCTTGTGCCCTGTCTCCCTAATTAAAGATGTGCGTAGCCCGCCTAGCTTTTAGCGGACGAGGTTCGCTCTCGCCCCGCCGACCAAAAAATGTCGTCGGATCCAGGCCATTTGCGAGGTTGGTTACTTTGCTGCGAGTAATGGGGCGCGCTTGTCTAATCGGAGATGGTGGCGAGCCTGCGGAGGCCTCGCGTGATGTGATAGTCCTCTCTGTGCACCAGAGTTGTTGGCGCTCCGCGCGGATCAGATGCAAGAAATCCGCGCGGAGCGCGAAAAGGCTATGCTTATGGCCTTTTTTGTTCGTCTAGTGCAGGAGGGGGGGATAGGCTCAGGGGAGATGCATTGACCTCCGATCGCCCAGTGATCGCCAGTAGGAGCCCGCCAGCCCATCCGCTCGGGGGCATGTGCGCTTGCTGCCGAATGCCAACCGCCGACCTCTCGACGACGCATCGCCACTTCCAGGCCAGTGTGTCCCCCTGAGCTCTTCCCCCCCGCCTCCTCCTGCCGTTGTTCTGCAGGGGCCCGCGCGCCCTGGGCGTGCCCCCGCCTTCGAGGCTTGGCACCGCCGCCGCAGCGGGGTGCCTCCTTCGGCAGAACTTGCCGCGCCTGGGACCCTCGGGCAGCCCTCATGGTGCCAGCCGAAGAGCAGAAATCCGCGCCATCGTACTCTCTCGTTGGGGGGCCAGGCAGTCGATCTGCTTCCAGAGGGCCAACATCTGGGGCACGTCAAATGCCGTTCTCACATTCTGGCCACTTAGCGTCTATGGGCACAACGTGCATAGGCACATGCGGGGTGGACACGTCTGTAGACATCGCGGCCGTTGCGTTCGGCGTAGTACATGGTCGGGGAAAGGGTATATCCATCTACGGTCTGTTGTCGTTCTAAAGCAGGTCGCACATGGTACTCCAATTTTCTCGGAGTTCCGCGTGGATTCCCTGCGCCGCCCCTGGTGGCGCGCTCCGCGCGACCGGGGAGGGGGTCCAGCGCCGATCCAAGAAATCTGCGCGGACTTCCGAGAAGTTATGCCTGCGCAGCTTTTATGTTCCTCCAGTCAGGGGCCACGCTGGCGAGGGGCAGGCCCAGTGGAGAACGCCTCGGCCCCCGATCGCTCCTCGACTGCCGACAAAAGGGTGGTCCAATGGCCCACACCGCCCAGGACTGTGTGGACTCGCCATCGGAGGCCTGTCGCCGATCCATCGGCGATGCATCGCCGATTCCGGCTCGATGTTTCCCCCCTGGGCCCCTGACGTTGCCCCTCGCGTTGGGGTTGCCAAGTTGTTTGGGCAGCGGTTGTCTGAGGTTTGTTGGATAGGAACTCGCGGAAGGTTTCGCTCATCTTGGATTGAATTAGATATTGGCGAAAGGTGCCCAATAGCGCTCAAGAGCGCCAACTAGCGCCCAATTGTGTCCAGTATCGCCGGATCGTGTCCGAATAGCGTGCCCGACACCGCCATGTGAGGGAGTTACATGATGTCCGATTTGCGCGCGATTGGGTGCGCTATTGGGCGCCATGGGGGCGACCAAGCTTTCTACGGTTCGTGGAGACACCGGGAAACCAAACAACGACAACTAGCAAGGCCCGGGTGTACTGCTGGGGGGCGCCACAGAAGAGAAGAGGTCGCAGCGTCCAGAATCCCGTGACCTCCTCTCCAGACTTCTGATGCCGTGATTGTTCATTTTGGGTTCACTCGCCCTAACTCGTCCTAACTCGCTTCTGTCACGGTTCCAGGGCCGAGAACCAGCCCGCGCCGAACATGGGGACACCCCCGACAGGAGGAGGAGGAGGAGGAGGAGGAGGAGGAGGAGGAGGAGGAGGTGGAGGAGGGAGGAGGAGGGAAGGAGGAGTAGTAGTAGTAGTAGTAGTAGTAGTAGTAGTGGCAGTAGTAGTTAGTTAGAAGTAGAAGTAGAAGTCGAAAGTAGTAGTAGGTAGTAGTCGTCGTCGCCGTAGTAATAGTAGTAGTAGAAGTCGTCGTCGTCGCAGCAGTAGTAGTAGTAGTAGTAGTAGTAGTCGTTGTAGTAGTAGAAGTAGTAGTCGTAGTAGTAGTAGTAGTAGTAGTAGTAGTAGTAGTAGTAGTAGTAGTAGTAGTAGTAGTAGTAGTAGTAGTAGTAGTAGTAGTAGTAGAAGTAGTAGTAGTAGTAGTAGTAGTAGTAGTAGTAGTAGTAGTAGTAGAATTAGTAGTAGTAGTAGTAGTAGTAGTAGTAGTAGTAGTAGTAGTAGTAGTAGTAGTAGTAGTAGTAGTAGTAGTAGTAGTAGTAGTAGTAGTAGTAGTAGTAGTAGTAGTAGTAGTAGTAGTAGTAGTAGTAGTAGTAGTAGTTAAGTAGTAGTAGTAGTAGTAGTAGTAGTAGTAGTAGTAGTAGTAGTAGTAGTAGTAGTAGTAGTAGTAGTAGTAATAGTAGTAGTAGTAGTAGTAGTAGTAGCAGTAGTAGTAGTAGTAGTAGTAGTAACAATCGTAGTAGTCGTAGTAGTGGTAGTACTAGCAGTACTGCTAGTAAGAGGTAGCAGTGGTAGTAGTTAGCAGTAGT